AATTGTGTAAACCGGACGCCGAAATATTTTCCAGAAATAACGAAAGCCAGACAGCCACCGGAGATCTTTGTTTCATGGGTGTATGTATTATCGCTTCGTCTCGTGCATAGTATGTACACAGAACGCTCGCCACATCGATCGCGTGCGCTTTCCAATTGAACGCGTTTCCCCGAACAACTCGCGAGAGGAAAAAGCCGCGCAGACGCTCGAGCCAAACTACCTGGGAAATATCCATCCTTCCCAAATTTCTTACCATTGCCTCAACGAACGATCATGCTCCTGTCTATGTTTCGTCGACGCTCCCGAACGGCGCGAAAACAAAGAACAAGCTGGCGCGGCTGGTTTACGAAACACGCGCGGTTTTCGGAACATGTATACAACCCTCCAAGGTAAAATTAGAACAACCCGCGGACCTTTTTTCCGTTCGAGCGTAGAGCTATAAAATGATCTAGGTGAGGCATGGCGCGGCAATGTATTTTCGAAGGAAATTCGGCGTTCTCGCGCCACGCTCCGACGCGCAGGTATCCTCCACCTTCGTTCACTTCCGAGAGAGCAGATGTTTGCCGTGGTAGGATGGCTCACGTCGCGACGAGCGATGAAAAACGGTCATTCGCCCGTAAGCGTTTGAAAGTAAAAAAAAGGCAAGAGGGAGATGTTTCGAACATGTGAACAGTGTTTGCGAAGAAACAAATGCGATCGCGTTTCATCATGCACCTTCTTCTCTTCCTCGCGCCTAAAAATAAGCGGTTGCGTAAAATTAAGGGCGTGCTGCCTAGTTATACGTACATAAGTAAGTATGTACATACATATACACATCTAGCGCTAGTCGCCGTTACATTTCGTAGGTGCCAATTGTTTTTGGCTGGGTGCTATTCGAAATTTATCCTAGATATTTTTACTCCGCGACATGTTAGTTAGCCTGTGTCCTCCGTTCTCGCGTGACACGTCTCTGTTTCAACGATATCGCACCAATCTTTGTCGCTCCCTCTTTCGAACCCGTTCAAAGATGCCCGCCACCGTTTCCTATGCCTATTCTCGACAAGATTCCGCCCGCTTTTCGTATAAACGCGCTTATATCTCAATCGAACGGACGCACGCACGCGTGCCAAAAAGCAAGCACGAAAATACATATACAGAGTGGCGCGTTGGCCGAGTAGGAGAACGACGTCGCAGCTGACGGTTCTATTCACGTTCGATCAACGAGGGAGAATGTCTGTGGGGGTCATCTCGAGTCTAGAGGGTTTCTCGCGATCGCTCTACCCTCGACGAGCGCGGTCCTCCTCCACTGAGTCGAAAGCCAACCGGAAAAGAGCCAGGCTTTTTCAGAAACGGCACAAGGATCGTGTGCTAGAATTCGAGATCTGTCGCGAGAAATCTCGATCGCAGTTTGCGACAGAGCTAACTGCTACTAACGATGCTCTTAATAGAAAGATGCAAAAGTATTATACATATATGTATACACGATTTGGCTCGCGGACGATTAACCTGTCCACTAACCAAATCTATCTTCTAGCTATTTATAGGCCGATGTCGCTATTAATAAATACCCTATTAACGATTAACGATACAGCCTGGTATTGTTGAGAGAATTGTGATTTCCGCGATGCCCTCTATTCGAATTTCGAACGATTCGAAATTTCAACGCATCGCCTTTTTTCCCGCTCTACCGTAGAATCGCGGGAGTAGCTGAAAGAACAGTTGGGGTGATTTAAGATCTAGCTGTTAAAGGTCAGCTAGCTGATGGGCCGTACACAAAAGGGGGGGAGAGAAACGGACGGGAGTAAAAATATACAATAGTACTTATATGTATACTTGAATTTGTTGTTCCAGGGCGGACTACTGGAAGTCTCAGGGTCGTAAATTCTGTGATTTCTGCAAGTGTTGGATCGCTGACAATAAACCCAGCATCAATTTTCACGAAGGTGGTAAAAAGCACAAGGAAAATGTTAGCAAACGGCTTAAAGAGATACATAAAAATAGCGCGAAGCAAGCAAAGCAGAACAAGAAGATTCAAGATGATATCAAAAAGATGGAAAACGTAAGTTCTTTTCCTACCTTTGTAAGAAAATCAACGAGAATCGTTGGAGAAAGGCGTTACGTTGTTTCTCGATGTTTAGGCAGCTATGGCTGCTTACCTGAAAGATGTGGAAAACAACACGAGAGACATGACAGCCGATAGACTGATCAAGGAAAAATTCAATCGAACAGAGACGAAAGACGTGCGTATTTATTCTTATCTTTTTCATTTACCTTAAGCGAAATTAAGGTAAACTTGGGCTTGTTATTGTATTGCTCCTGCTGTCTCACGATAGCAGGATAGATGAGAAAAGGAAGAAAAAAAAAAGAGAACTATTCGTTGCAGACGTCGAACTTGAATCCTGTACCAATAGCCACCCCACCAGAAACCCAGCCTAGGTTCAAAGGTGAAAATCGACAGGTAAGACTAAATAAAAATGACACTTTTTCGGTATATACGTATGTAGATACAGGGAGGTATAACGAAAACTTCCAGTTTTCTCAAGAGATCGATCCATGTGATCCAATTCTATTGAGAAATGTCACGGCAACGAGCGCGACAACGACCACGCAACAAAACAGACCACCTCAGCAAAGAGGCGAGACGAAGCCACAAGGAAAAGGCAAGGTAGGCAAAGGCAAAGGAAAGGGGAAGAAAATTCTGGACGACGACCGACCGACGAAACCTTTTCGAAAACTTTGGTACGAAGCCCTCAGTCCCGAAGGATACACGTACTACTGGCACGTCGAAAGCAACGGTGCGTTCAATCTTTCTTTGAATCCACCGAATAACCAGAATAGAGTAAATAAGTCTGTTAAATATCGAACATATTCTGTGCGATACAGAATCCATTTGGGAACCACCCGAGGAGGGATATATGACGTTCGCGGAACAGCAAGAGGAAGCGAAAGAACAAGCTCTTCAAGAGGAGCTGCTGCAACAGTTGGAAGAGGAGGAAGCTGTCGCGAACGTGGATGTACTCGAGGAGAAACGAGCAAATGCCGAGAGAGAGAAGTTGAAGGAATTGAGGAAGATAAACAGTGTGCATACGTTAGAATCGGAGAACGGGAATGGGAACGAGAACCGAAACGAGAAAGCCGAAACGAAAGGAAACGAAGAGGAAACGAAGAGGCCATACAGGAGGGATTGTACTATTCCTGTTAAATCCCATCCGTACGGGCCTTGGCGAACCGTGGAAAAAACGTGAGTCCCGAAAACGGCGATACTTAGCTCCAGACGAATCTTAAAAACCTTCCGTTTCAGGGAAACGAAACCGGTGGATCTGCAGCTGCCTCAACAAAAACAAATGCAACTGCCTGTGTTCGAGAAAGCAGAACCACCACCTCCTGTGCAAAGGACCTTCAAAGAAAAGACTATTACGCAAGTTGAGACAGGAGACAGCGACGAAGACGCGAAACCGACTATGTTTAAAAAACGAAAAATTGCCAATAAGAATGTACGAAAACGATTAACCGACGACTGATTTTTCTGCGTCTGACGTGTGTATCTACGTGCGTGTACAATTCACGTGTATTTCGTCGAACGCTATCTGTTCGTATTCCGAAATTACATGGTTCGTTTAAAACGATCATTTTCTTTTCTTACAACATACAGAATGCCACGCAAAATGTGTCGCAGCCTGAACGAGATGCTTGTACTTTTTTGGTACGCTGCTGCCTCGTTTAAATTAGCATAAATTGCGTGTAAAAGATATTATTTAATAACGAACAAAGCTTCTTCGTTACGTACGTAGTATTACTGAAATGGCAAACATGTTTCCCACTGATGACGCGGCGTCGCGTTCGCCGTTTCGTAACATTCTCAAACTAGTTCAGATAGCGGTACAGTTTTTCCACTAATGTTACTCGAAGAAACGTATCGTCCCTTATCTGTCGTGTCAAGTATTCCGTTAAGTCGATCCAAGATCAATTGACGAGGCTGCCCCTTCGTTTCTGGAATAAGCACGAAGACGAACACGAAAGTACTGGCGCAAAATGAACCGAGGAGGAAGAAACATCCGTGCACACCTATCAAGTGGGTTACAGTCGGGAATAATTTCACGACTACGAACGCAACGCTCCAAACGAAACACATTGCGATCGTTATCACCAAATTCGAGATGTCCCGACTGAGTATTTCCGAAGAGACGACGTACGGACCTGGTCCTATACCTAAACCATAGGCGACCATGAAAATGGACAAAGCTACGATCGAAATCCAACTGAACCGACTAACGTCGTATCCAAGAGTTTGCAGGTAGCAAAACGCCCCGAGGACATAGTGACAGAAACCCATTCCGAAGCAGGAGGTTAAAAGCAAAGGTCTTCTACCGGCTCGTTCCATCAACGTTGTAGACATGCACGAGCCGAACACTTGAATCAAGCCCACGATTATCGACGAGCTGTTCGGCGGCAACGAACTTCCCGACATCTTGAATATCGTTTCCGTATAGCTTATCTGCAGCAGAAACAAGAAAAACCAGTCACAGAATATAACACTAGCAAATATTAGTTCGTTGTTTTCTTTACCATAAGAAATATTCCTCCAAATTGCTGACCACCGAACAGTCCCAGCGTGATGATCAATCCCTTGATCGTTGCTCGATCTCGAAACAAGTCCGACAGCCCGATCGATCTCCCCGAAACGTTTTGCTCCTTTGCTTCCGCCTGCAGTCGCGACATTTCCCTCTCCACCGTCGGCTTATATCCATCCCTCAGCCATGTCAGGGATCTAACGGTTAGTGAGGAGACCACTGACCACTGAATTATTCAGCGTTATCGTCTATCCGACAAATTCTACCCTCGCTTACCTCGCTGCATCACCCAGTCGATTGCGTCGCACCAGATACACAGGCGTTTCCGGCACGAATAGGAAGAACGCGACGTAGAACAACGGAAAGAGGAGCGCGACGATCGAGAACAACCGATACGAGACTAACGCGCCGAGAATATACCCTAAGAGGATACCGCCGTTCAATAGGAACACCATCAGGCTGCCTAGCATGCCTCGTATTCCATCGGCCGCGATCTCAGACACGTACAACGGCACCAAGAACAACGCCATTCCGCCGGATACACCCGAGAAGAAACGCGCGACGAACAGGTGCCACTGTTCCGTCGCGAATATCGTCACCAGCCAACACCCGCAAAGGGGTAAACCCATCAAGCAACCGACCATCTTACGTCCGTATCTGTTCGCTAACACGCCGACCACCAGGCTTACGCCAGCCGCCGTCAGACACGTGATTCCTGTCAGCCAGGATGCCGCTTCGTCCGTCATCGGCTCCTTCCCCACCGGAGGATTCCCATTTTGTAGTAACGGTATCGCCGGCGACTGCCAACCGATCATTAGTCCAAACGACAGCGATGAGATGTTCGCTGGCAAACAATCCCAATCGTTACTACCCTTTTCCACCCTTTCTTTTCTCTCTATGAGGAATAGGAATTCCTACTTACCGATCAGCGCTACTAGAAGCTGTCGAAGTCTTCCTGGTTCGTTGCTCACGCTTTCTGTCCTCATTTTCTCTCTTTCTTTCTTTCTTTCTTTCTCTTCTCCTTCCTTCCTCTTACTTTATTTTACTTTACTCTATCTACCTAACCTTCCCTCCTCTGTCTCCTCCCCCCTTTTCTCCTACCCCTCTTCCTTTCCGCTCCTCTCCTTTTCAAAGCGAAAGATTTCAAATTCTCCGTTCCCTCTGCCGCCACGATATTTCCCTTCTCCGTTCGTACACGCGCGTTTTCTGCCAAAGGTTCGATCCATCCTTGAATTTATACCGATCGGTAATCGTCATGTCGTTACCAAACTTCAGTACGAGCCGAATATACTACTCTTATCTTCTATCTCGCTTATTAGCTACCTTATTCTGTGTACTCGACAAACATCTGCATATTCGCGCATCACTTTATCAGCACCATCTTCGACTCTTTCCTTGCTCTTCCTCGTATCTTCCCTTTTCCACCTTCCATCCCGTTTTTCTTTACACCAGCAACATGCATCGATTATTCGGTTTCGCATTTTTAATAACATATTTATCGTAACTTCTTGTAATGAGTTTACAATACATATTCTAATTCCTGCAAATAAAATCATCTCACATGTGTCAGTTGAACATAGTGAAACGTATTCGACTATGATTTACTATGAGATCTACTTCACCGACTCTCAGTTCAGGGTTAATTTATGATTCCGCAAGAATCTGCCGGCTTCTTCAGCTTTAGATTAATTTATGCGCTCTTGTACATACGTTCATTTTTTTCTGCACAACACGCGTTGCGACAATACCACAAGTACAAACGATCGTATAATAAAATAGAGTAACTGCTCATAGGAACAAGTTTCTTCGTCATCTCGTCCGTCTACGAATCGTTTCAAACTTTTCTTTCACACTTTCGTTATGTAACGTTATTATTCCAAATTCCTTCCTTCCTTTTTTTTTTTTTTTTTTTTTTTTTAACACTTTAAATATAAACTTAGAATAAATCTGAGCAATTCAGAATAATTAAAATATCTTTCGTTTCGTTTCGTTTGAACGATAAACATTGCCGATGACGATCGTTATACGATGCTTGAACTGTACGATATAGAAACGCGCATATACAGATGCAGCTATGCGTACAGAGATGCAGCGCATACGTGTCAGAACGTGTCTTCCGTAGCTAGCTAGATAACAGCAAAACAGGTATTTAACCTAATAAAACTGTCCCTGTTTTCGAACACGTCATTTGCGAAGAAGTAGTGATACCATTTCTAAATAGATACTGTTATATTAGACGATGGAAATGAATTTATTACAATCAAAATAATCATTATTCTCTTTCTTGCTCTCTTTCTCTCTTTCTTTATCTCGCGTCAGAAACGTATTCCACCCGATGTTCTCTATGTCCTTTAACAGTGCAGCCATATTTGGATTGTACATATTGACAATGCTGATTTTCATCGAACAATTTCTTTTCATCTCGTTTCGCTTTATTCTAATAAATTGATATCCTTCGTATCGTGATGTTAACAGATAAAATATATACGTACATTAAGAAAAAGATCTTATTTAAAATTTTCTTTACGTCTTTTAAACTTTTCAACTATAGGTTTGAACTGCATTGTGACGTTATTTCTTATCTTCGAACGAATATTATTTTCTATGGCTTTTCTGTTCGTGTAATATCTCGATTGGAACAAAATACACGAATTCGAACACTTTGACAAGTTTTACGAAAGTTTACGAGAAATCATATGTAACATTTAGGCTAGGTTCCCACTTGTTGAGCATACGTATCTCATTTATAACAATAACATGTAACACGCAAAGCGTTAGGAAACGTTTCTTCGATTAATCAAATCACATATGCCATTTTTTAACGCTTTTCTTCTTTCTTCTTCACTAACAGGTATTTTACTTCTTTCTGTATCCAACGTTCTATACGCTGTAAAACATGGCATGGCATTGCAGTGGAACTACAAACCAGGAAATGATAACCAAATTAAAAGGTAAGCTAAATTCACTTCTTCATTTTACGAAATACACAATGTAATTCTGATATTTTATCGTAGAAGCAGGTATCCTGACAACAGACCGTGCAGAAGCAGCGATGCTTGCTGTAGACAGAGCAAAATATTGCCACGAAACAAATCCATATCTGGACCGGCCAAGAAGAATTGGTTATAATGTTACAATTAGCGCTCCTCACATGGTTGGTAAACACTGTACAAATTGTTTAAACAGATCGTACCTCATTTTTTTAACGCAATCGGCATTCTTATCCATAAATTACTTACATAATCTTACACATCTACCCATATGGAAATAAAGAAATAATGGATCTTTTGCAGCATGCGTATGCATTGTCTATCTTATCTGATCAGCTGTTCGACGGAGCAAAAGCTTTGGATGTTGGTTCAGGGTCTGGTTACTTGTCTGCATGTATGGCGTTTATGGTGGGTTCGCGTGGTCGTGTGATCGGTATTGATCACATTCCAGAACTAATAGAAATTTCAACGAAAAACGTAAGCAAGGATTGCCCTCACTTCATGAAGGAAGCACGTGTTAAATTTGTAGGTAAGCAAACATCAAGCTACAAACGCGTTCTTGCAATTTCTATTCACGAATAGTTGGTGTCGGGAAAAAGAGAAACAGAAAGGTATTCCTTATAAATACATGGTCTTTTTCCTACAACGTTTCAAAACTTCATGCATGTAAGAATTTGAGAATAACGTAGATATGTTGAAATAAAAAATACTCCTGATCCACCCACGTGGAGTAGGTATGTACCTTGCCACAAAGAATCGAACTGGACTGTGTCCACCAACTGCGTGACTTTGCCGTGCGTTACATAAAAGATAGACCGAAGACTAACGACAGGTCATTATAAATGCGCCTAGTGGGAGACGGCAGATTGGGATATGCTGCTGACGGCCCTTACAACGCGATTCACGTAGGAGCAGCAGCGGAAACCTTACCACAACAGGTATCACTTAGATAGGCTTAAAGATTAACGAGTACATCGAAATGTTTGTGGAAACAATTTGACCAAAGTAAAGCTAATTTTACATTCCAGTTGATAGATCAACTGGCACCTGGTGGACGGCTAATTTGTCCCGTTGTTACCATAGAAGGTTTTCAAAGGCTTCAAGATCTGCTCCAGGTGGATAAGAACGCCGATGGTACGGTTGTAAAGAAAAAACTGATGCAAGTTTCCTACGTTCCTCTTACCGATCCTGTTAGTCAATTGCTAAACGATTGTTAAGAATTTTATTAGTAATTTCAAACGTTTAAAAATGGTTTAGACAGTTTTCAGTATTGAAACGGGATCATCATCGTCGACAATGGCAATGACGGTGTGACGATGGCTATGATGTTGACGATGAACAGCGTTTAAACGAAATTAATACCTTCTTTCCCATACGTTACGTGACCTTTTTGCGCTAGTAATTTTTCTTTTTTCTTCTTACCACCAATATGTATATCGATAAAATATATTTTCCATATATAGACTAACTCGAAATGCGTACTCAATTAATACTACATTTATGCTATACTTTTAAAGAAAATCTTTTCAATTCCTTCAACAATGGAATGGATCGAATATATGTATACTCCAGACGTTATTATCTTTGCTGTACAAATAGTCAAACAAAGTAACAAGTGTTTATATTTAATAAATCATTTACAGATTAAAAATTCGAATGCGTCTATTTACTCACACACATACATCCAGAACGAAGACAAATAAATAACGTTAAAATGACAATTGTCCGATGTAATGTTGAAACGAGATAATACTTTCAATTTTAATTGCTACATGTTATTAATGGATTATTTAGTTAACATAGCTTGTGCCTAAATAAAACAGGAATGCGTTGTTTGTGAATTTTCCTTTGAAATTGCCGCCATAATGGAACAATGATATTTGTCGGATAGAACATAACCTTAACAGAAAGAAAAAAAAGAAAAGGAAAGAAGGAAATCGATGTAACGCTGAGGTCTGTCGGTACAGATAGTACTTGAACATCTAACATTCGTTGTGATTTTGTTAGAAGAAAAAGTATGTGAATTTATAACCAATCTATAGAGAATTTCGTAAGCCGTCGAAGAATACTTGTTACTAGGCCGAGAAATACGGGGCGGGGCGACTTTTGACGGAAATTCTCAGATCGGCTAAACGGAACTACATACATATTTGAACATGATAGTGGAAAGTGTTAGCGGCCGACAGAAAGTAGCTGCTGATCGTGGGTTTGTTAAAACACCGGTCAACAGAATTTCTACGCGATGTGTAAGACTAAAATTTGCAATCCAGATTAAACAGGATGCTGTGGGATCGCATGTAAAGGTAATTAAGATTGCGTCACTTTATACTTCATCGTGTTTCCTTTTTTTTCTTTCTTTTTTCCTTAGATATTTCATAGGGCATCACTGATAGAATTTATCACCGATTCATTTTTACTTTCTTCGTATTTCAATTTCTTTCTAACTAACTTCGTCACAAAATCGTGTGAACACATTCGTTTTTTTTTTTTTTTCTTAACTTATTAATTTTGAAAATAACACTATTAATAATTTTTACACAAACTCTATACCAACTGTTTATTGCGATGCATAAAAAACTACGTCTTATCTGAATTATTAGAGGTTTCAATTTTTCCTATTCACGATACCGTTGAATCTTGTGTACGCAGAATTATCGTATATTTCCCTTATGACGAAGATTATCAAGGAAAATTGATAAAATCTAATCTTTCTTACAATCACGTACAAATCATCTGGTGCGTATATGATAATATGTATACACGTTTGGTGATTTACGAGAATTGTGTAGGTTAAGTATACGCGCAGATCTCATAGCGTATGAAGAATACGATAAAATATTCCAGCGGATATCTTTCTGGCGATGTTTTCATTTCTGACTATCCAGAGTGAATTTTTCTTGATGAAAGTATACGTGATAACAGTACCGTGGTATTTTTTTTTTCATTTCGAGAGTTATCCTTTTATCGACGAGCATTAAATAGCAGTCGATCGATGGAAAATTACTCGCTCAAGCAGACATAATAAAATATACATTCATAGGTACAGGTCAGAACAGGAAAAAGAAATCGATGAACAATGAGCAGTGTTTATAGGGCTTCGTAGTAAACGAAGGGAATTTGTTGACCAATTTTCTTTGGCCAATTTCGTTAATACGAATAGGGTGGTAGGATCGCACGATGACTCGACTGAATCGTTTCAATTCGTTAATTAAATTCGCATAATCAGAATCGGTAAAATAGAAATTTTTCCGATAGGGTAAAAGTATTGAATCAATTGCATTGATATTTTGGTCGAAGAATCGAATGGTGAAAGGAGTAACCGGTTTTTTAGCAGACGGCGGGAAACAGATTACATAAAGGAAGAATAAAAAGTAAAGCGATTTGTCATGCGACCTTCGACCAGTTTCGCTTGAACTCGCAAATGTAAAAGCTGTACGCGTTAATTTTGTATGTCACACCGATTATTGATAAGCACGATACGAATGCGACGATTTAGAAGTGAACATAAAGATTCGATAATTGTGGAGACAGAGGTGAACTATCTCTAACTGAAAGCATTGTGAAAAAGTTTGTTGCAGCAGTAGCAGAGTTAACCTTTGAGTCGGTTAGTAATAAATGGGGCAACGAATGTTCGTTCTTCGTCTTCCTTTAAGCCATCGTTTATCATTGCTGTAATCGCACAGCAAGACGCTTGTGTAATATCTCTGTTAAGGGAGGAAAAAAAATATGAAAGAAGTAAAAAAAAAGGTGCATTAGAAGAGTAGCACGATTGTGCGGCGACCTTCGAGGGGGAATTCATTTCTGTGAAAAAGAGAAGTGCGCGTCCCGCTCACAGTTCAGTACGGTACCGACTGTTCCCCCGTTAACAGCGGAACGCATATTGTAAACAAAAAACTACGTTCGGTAACAAGTATTTTGTTGGATCTTCGGTATCATCTACAACACAACACGGCGGTATCAATATCACGAGGTAAACGTGTAGATTATTGAAAGTGCACCGATATCATTTATCTCAATTCCCGCGTTTATTCTCTCTCTCTCTCTCTCTCTCTCTATTCTTTCTCTCTCGCTCTTCTTCTTCTGTTACTTTTCTCCTCTCGGTCTTTACATCTTTTTCTTGCTCTTTTTCATATTCATCATCCCTATCGAGTTATTTGGACTTTTCAAGACAACAAAGTTTCAAAAATGCTCATAATTGTTACGCGACAGTCAGGATATATGTATACGAGAGTGTTGCCACCGATGGCGTGACCGAGGATGTTGTGTGTGGTGACAGGGTATGTTCATTGTTATATTTTGTCAATATAAAGAATTCGGTAATTACATACATTATCATTACACAACATTCGGGTCACAGTTTATCATTGACATGTTGCTTCATATCGAGCGACAAATTTACGAATGATGCGTTGATACTTGACACAAATCGAGAGAATGTGTGGAACGAACAGGATATCGAAAATTACAATTACACGCATAATTGATTACCGACTCTGGTCGCTTACCGATTTCTGCACAGTCGTTAAGGAAAAAAACCGTTGGATAAAGCGGTCGAACGATCAATAAATTGGGGAATTTTATTGGCAGATTTTCATTTTTGACTATAATAAATTGTCAAATAGAGGTTAAATAATTGTAAAATGTATAAGTCTGATGCGTTTTGGATTAAAAAACATTCGCAAATTTGTGTGTTCTCGCTGCTGTCGATCTTTCCGTGGCGTTCTTCGGTGTGTACCGATCGTGGAAGTCAAGTGTTTCGGTTAATTTTCAAATCGACCTCCATCGAAACAATTGTAACAATCATTCTTACAGTTGTGTTTCGTAATTGCAAATATCGTTTTGAATGGCAATTATTTTCAAGGAAACTAAACTGAACTTGATCGCGTAACACATCGTTCATTATACTTTTAATACAAGGCGGTGTATGTATTTCACGTGTGTATATCGCGTCCTTTTTTCCTTGTTCCGTTTGTTCGTCGTTTAGATAGAAAGTACATTCACACGAGCGCGTAATTTTTAAATACATTTTTACATATCGAAAGGAACCAACCACCATAAGCTTTACTAACGAGAAATCGCTGAACGAATGGCTTGAAGGAAGCGCTCGTTTCGCTCGATCGATCGATTTGCATATCAAGCGTAATCATACATCGAGTCGAACGTTCTCGATGTTTCAGAGAACTATTTTCTTTTTACACTCAGCCCGAATGCAAATATGCCAATTGGTTCGCGTTGCTATTATACGATATGTAGGAGTAAGCGTAAGAATGTGTGAAGCTTGTTCGTTTGAAATAGTCGATCGATGTGTCAAGATCATTAACACGACCTTGCTTGAACGATATTAACGATATCACGATTCCGTAGAACATTCGACGCTTATACTCGCAACTTCCATAACATTTCGTCGTATTAAATGGAAAGATAAGAAACGACAATGCCTCGTCTTAGTATTTTATTTCCAATTGATCGACACACACACACACGCGCGCGCGCGCGCACGCACACGCACAAAGTGAGTTTTGGTATTACGAAGAATTTCACAATTGGCTGGATGATTACGGTGGAAGGATGAGTGGTTATGAAAAATGCGCAACGCGTGTGACGTGGTGACCACGATGCTCGCGTCATCGCGTCGTTTATCTCTCCTTTGGAGTTTTCATTATCTGCAGAGATCGTAGCTAAAGATCGCATCCATGTACGTTATATGAAAAAATTGATCGATCGTAGGTTGCGTTTAAACGTATGTGTCGCTCTAACAGGTTAACATTTGTTAATATTTGTTTGTTGCAGTGGTTGGAATAGAAACGATCGAACTAGCGCACTCGAGAATAGCATACCGTAGGAACGATGCAAAATTGTGGCGACGACGATGGCTGTAACGAGGTCGTCTATAAGGATGTGGTCATTATAGGTATGTGGCTCGTTTACCAGTATACTACATCAATATGATTACTTCAACACGTATACGTGCGATCGTACTCCTTCATCGGCAAGCTGTTCCTGCTATGTAAGTATATTACATTGTTCCAAGCGACAATCGACAACCATACGAGCCGGTTGCAGGTAAAAACACGCGAAAACGAAAAGAGATCGTGTGACACAAAGAGGATGTTTGTTTTGTCCAGGAAACGGACCCAGCGGAATATGCCTGTCTTACATGCTCACCGGAAATTGGCCTTATTACACCGGCGAGCCGCATCCCGGAGACGAGATGTTGACGGCGCGACTACACCTAAGCACAAGGTCCGGGAAGGACGAATGTTGCGACGATACGGGCCAAGAAATGGGAAATGAAAGGGTGGAGGACCGATGGCGGCGACGGCAACCGCCGTCTTCACCTCGGGACGGCGTTAAATCGAAAGCATGCGATGGGAAGGGATTGGCTGGCAGCACGAGATGCAAACTCGAATGCCTGTCTTCTGGATTGGAGGGTAGACTCGGTGGCCGGCCGTTGGCCCTTCTCATGGATCAACTTCAACACCCCTGCGTAGACGCTGGCCTCGATGTTCCTTCGTTGCTCACGTGGAAATCCATTGAGCAGCACCCTGAGCATAAACTGATAGATCACGTTGTACTCGGCAAGGGGCCACCCGGTGGTTCGTGGCAGGTAACTGAACCAGCCAAACACTTTTCCCGATGGTTCTGGTCGATTGAAAATTTCCACGAATTTATTCTATTCTGTTAGTCGATGGATCCAAACGTGTTGACCATCAGCTTGAACCGATGGATGTCGTTGCCCGATTTAGACATAAGGCAATGGGAAATGTTGATCGTCGAGTCTGAACATCTTCGGAAAACAAATTCAACGAAGCGTGATCCGTGCCCGCGTTACACGTTCCAAGAAAGACCGAGTGCCTGTAAGACGACTAGCAGAATTTCCGTTGGCACAGTGGCTGCCTATTACAAAGACTATGTACGCAAAAAGGGGTTGAAGCAGTATTTTCGTTGGTTGGTTCGCATCGCAGTTGTTTATAGTTCGAGTTGATACCGTGACGAGTCCCGTTCTCCTTGTACTCGCTAACATCCTGAACGTTTGTTTTCCAGCGGGACCGTAGTCACCTCGGTGAGACCAACTTCCTCCTCGGATCATCAGCATCAAGATGATCATTACGGATGGATAGTGGACGGTTTCGAGAGGCAGACCGGAAAACCGTTCCGCTATCGATGCAAAAGAGCTATTCTCGCTACCGGTACGATCGATCTGTCCAACAGGTTAGGTATACCTGGCGAAAATTCCCACCCTGATTGGATAACGCACGATCTAAACGAGCTAGAATCGAGACTGGATTGTCTGATCGAGGAGCAACACGACGACGGTACACGTCATACACTACACGTTCCCCTCTCTCCCTCTTTCCTCTTCGAGCTTCTAATTTGTTTCGTTGATTTTAGTAAACGAACTGGAAGAGCGACGGCGACGAGTTCCTGATCCGGTACTTGTGATCGGTGCTGGTTTGAGCGCCGCGGATGCGATCGTGGCAGCGCGGTTTCGGGGCATTCCCGTGTTGCACGTGTTCCGGGACACGTCTAACGAGTGGAACAAATCCCCTGACGAGAAGATACGCACTGCCTACGAGAAATTGCAAGGACTTCCCAGCTCCATGTATCCTGAATATCATAAGGTGTATGAAATGATGGCCGACGGTGGTACCAATTATCCTCTGTACAGGGCGCTACCGGGTTACACGCTGCTCGGCTTCACCGACAGTGCAACTGATCTCATCTCCTCAGACATTACCCCATCCAATAAACAACGAATGGTCACTCTTTCGGCTCCGAACGGACGCGTATGCTCGTTCCACGTTTCTGCCGTGGCTATACTAATCGGTACGTGTCGGATCAATAATCAATAACTATCCTCAAGCTGATATTCTTTCTAAGGATACGTTCGTTCACAGGTTATAAGCCTGACCTGTCCTATTTGGAGGCCAACGGTATGGGACTTGGAAAATTCCCCGACAAACCCATTGACGGTAAATCCAATCCAATCGAAGTCGATGATTTTACTTATGAAGTGATTAAAGCTCCAAGAAATGGACTTTACGCGTTAGGTTCTTTGGTCGGCGATAATTTCGTACGTTACATACTAGGTGGAGCATTTGGGATTTTAGTTCACATCCTCACCACTTCCTCCTCGTCTTCTACTACCTGAAACGACACGAAATTTTCTATACGACGTCGTCGTCGTCGTCGTCGTCGTCGTCGTCATCGTCGTCATCGTCGTCGTCCTCCTTCTTCTCCCCCGCCCCCCTCGTTACTTTTTTTTCTTCTTCTATACTCTTTAGTAAAATTTATTCGATGTGGCCTGTATCTAATATACACACACTCTTGCGTAAATAGAAATGAACCAGAGCTCCTTTGATTTAATTTGCCGTTTAAATATACCAAAGCGAGGTTTTGGTTCCTCGCTTGACTAGATTGAATGTAACACAGGAGTATGTTCATACAGAACGACTTTCACCACAAGTTTCAACGAGGAAAACAATTTCTCGACTCTAAAGATAATAATAAAATTTGTACGTTTGATACCAGTATTTGGTGCATTCCATTTATTAGAATAAATATTCTTACGATACCTTGCTGTACTTCGAATCACACGTCGAACAAACAATTATTTTTTCCACGGGAGATTTTTCGATATTTCACAAATTCCTTTCCTTCTACTATATGTTCTTTAACGAATAATTCACAATCCGTAGTGTAAGATTTTTGAAAGATACGATAAATATTTGCAACATAGTCAGAATTTACGCAACACGTTTGTAAGCATTCACGCGCGCCGCACACACGCAATACAAGTAAAGGAACAAAAATCAAGGTAAACTCAAACTTTTTAAAATTGAATCTATCATGTACCAGGCGGTTACAATTATATAAATTACGTAGATGTAAAATATGTGTATCGTTCAGTCTGTAATTAAAGGTGCAATAATCCAGGAGAACTATTTATCTTGATATTTATAAAAGAAATCTCAAGATATAATGTTTCGAATATTTACACCAATATTGGAGAAAATTATAACATGCGTTCGATAAAATATTATCCCTTTATTAATGAAAATATAATACTGTTAAGTATTACATACACAAGCGTAAGTTTCACCTTCGAGTGTCGTTACTATACATATAATTATCGTTAATTCAGGCTATAAGATTTTATAACATAGAGAAATGATGTGTGAACATATTTCACTTCCTTTTCTTTCAACCACCTTCTTTTATCGAAAGCTTTCAGCTATATTTTCTCAATATAACTACGTGCTGCAGTTAATCTAAATTTAAAATGCAATTAAAAAATATTGACTCGGCTATTAACAATCCACTAATGTTACGTACAAATCTTGAAATCCGTCATATAATGATGCATGAAATGCACATTATCACGAATAAGTCAGTATCCTGGAATGATTTCGGTCGTGATACAAAGAAATCGGTACGGGCATAAAATTAAAATTCTTAGAATAGTACTTAATCGCAGCTTTTGCATAAAAACAAATTATTTACAGTGGATCCATGTATTGGAGCAATATACATAATGTAATCTTATTCGGTACATACATCGAAATAATAGCGTTCGTAATTTGAATTCATTTAATTGTACATTACTATTCCCTTATTTACTTGCAAACTGAAGTTTTCGTGAATTTCATCGAAAAATATTGCCTGCTGAAACTATACGCGGTAAATACCACCCCCCGTTCTTCAGGAATAATCGATGACAACTAATTGTGTATTAGGATGTAAACGTGTAATTAAAATGAAAGTGTCGCTTCATGTTTTAAAAACGACAAAAAGAAAACAAACTAAAATAATAGCTCCCGCAAGTACGACTATACAATATAATTTTCTGTTAGCTCTTTGATAAGAGTCTGCCTTTTTTAATTGCTTATAACCCTCCTGCACTTGTACTTGGGTCTGTTCAATGTTATAATCGATTCTGTCCAAAACGGTACCCTGATCCTGCACCATAGTTGCCAAATCCTGTTCGAGGAAAATTTCTTACTTATTTTTTCGAAATTGGAGTTTTTTTTTCTTTTGTTACAAAACATAAGCCATGAACGTGTATCTCATGAATTTTTAATATTCCTTACTTTGAATATATGTCTAAGTTCCACTATACTTTGCACTATGTTGCCAATTTGTTCTTCCCTTTCCATAGTTAATTTCATTCTATCTTCTGGATCCTCCAGTTGTAAAAGTACAGACTCTTGTCTTTGTTCGGTATTATACCAAGAATCTGAATTCGCTTCGTACGACTCCATTAGCCATGTATCCGTCGCGGTATTATTTAAGAATATCGACTGATCTTCGGTAAAAAATTGATTACTCCTCTCTTCCCTCGATTTGATCTCTGAAATTATTAAAAGGATTGCAACAATTTTTTTCATTGAATATTCATTTGTCTGAAAATAATATGAATCATACGTGTTAAATAATGATTCTGAGCTGATCTGTATCGAAGACCCAGCTCTTGTAAAGCTGTTGAAAGAGCCATTATCGCGCTTATGGCTAACTGACGTTCTGCAGGTCTGCTAGCATGCCTTACTGCAGTTTTTATGCTTTGTACTTGACGATAACCATTAGAAAATGCGCGTCCTATTTCTCGTATCAGTTGTTCCATTTGTCTCTCTTCCTGTAGACATGTTTTTAACGATTTGCTCTCTAACAATTAAGTAATCAAAATAAATCAGAAGGATTGCCCAATCTTTTGGCAGTAAGTGTACAACAAGTAATTTACTTTCAGCATAATTCAGCAATTATGTAAATGCAACGACCAACCTGTGATGTATCGTCTAATGTTGGTCTAGTTAATTGTTTAGCATGTAACTCTACTAAGCTCTCGATTTTGACACGTAATCTACTTAAAATATATTGCGTCTCCTCTAGAGCATCTGTCCATACAGGTGGTGCGTTATTTTCCAAATTAATATTTTTTAATTCGACGTTATCTGAAGTGCCAGAATCTGAAGCCACCAGTGCCATTCGGTCGGACAAATTCTGAAATCATACATTATATCGTTTAATCCTTAGATTCCCCGGAAAATAATTAACGTCGCTCAATTCTCGTCAATTACAGGTTATATATTTCATACTTGTTCGGCATATATGTGTTTGCTTTGTAAAGCATTATTCCGCATTAAAATAAACGGTTCTGTCAGATTTCGCATGGCCATTTTGATCAATTTTTCAAGTTATTCGTAAGATGATTTACAACAGCTCACTACTTGTTACACTCTCTTCTTCAGATAACAGCTCTACTCTTTCAAAGTGCTCCATCTGTCATCACGGAACGCTTGAAACAGTTGATTAACCAAAATCATTAAATTCAAATTTCGATAACTTTTCATTGTTTCGATTCAATATATTTGCTTGTAATTACGAATAAGAAAAAAAAACATCTGTTCGACGGAGGATACTTTATTTCAATCATTATTCGACCTCGTTTGTACATGCGTGTATGAATAGATGCACAGAGCATTTACTCGTGTAATACTGTTCGAAACTGCCTTAAACTATAAGCAACGAATACACGCTTATCAGTAGAGATTTGTAATTGAAAATCGGGTCGTAGGTATTTAGTAAAAATAACTGTACGTTTGTTTTGAGTACATAATAGCCTACTGTTTTATTATATTGAATCGTTTTGTCATTTATCAAAACAAAAAAAAAATCCTTACATTGTCAACAACGGATGTTTTCACCAGATCGTTTTAATGGAACCATTCAATTCTTTTCCAATTAAATATACAGATATATGTTTAACATGATACATACACTATGTCTTAGGTACACATAATTAGCTGTAACTATTATACATTATTAATATAAGTCTTAATAATAAAAATTTCTTGATGCTCTTCCAGCATTACTTTCAATATTTTTCGTTTTAATTCAAACCATCTTTATTTCCCGTAGTTTCAATAATTAGTGGCCTAGTACTGTAGAGATTTCCAATTGTTACTTGTCTTTTAATAACTTCAAGCTCTTCCAAACCTTTCATATAACACTCGTTAATTCTGTCCTTATCCTGTATTGTTTTGTTCTCTTGGAATTCATGCCGAATTTTACGCAAAGCATACATCCTATAATAAATGTAATATGTTTATATGTAATACCATTTGATACACTGAACATTAATAGCAACTGATTTAGTAATATTTTAAATAACCACAAGTACAGTTTTGGTTAACGTTAAAGTTAGAAATTAATTACGAATATATTGTAATAAATAATATATAGAATTGTAAATATTATTTCCTTCGATAATTTACACTTACCGATAAATATAAGTGTTCCATTTTTTGCTTTCCCGAATTAAATTTCGATAAAGGCTCAAAATTTTGCCTCGACTATTAGCCATTGTTTGTAATGCAACATAGATTAAGTATATCATAGATAGGTATCCTGTACATTTATCAGCATTAATTGCGAACAATTTATCCGAATTTCAATTTACGTGCGAACTATTTCTTTCATTTCATTCGAAACTATTTTTCATTTTTTCTTACCATAGTCGTAGGTAACACGCGACATTGTAAACTTTTTGAAAGTTACGTCTCTTGATAAATACCAATATGTATTGTGAATCTCCCCTTAATTATACCACGTGGTTAGATGTATGTGTGTACTGTGCGTTGTAATAAAAAACTACGAAGCAGAAGACTTTTCTTACATATGCATACAGTGCCTTCACTTTTCCTCCATTAATTCAATCAATTAGTAACGTATTTCAAAGTATCTCATATAGGTGTGTCACGATGATTCCACAATGGTTAGATTACTATCTGCAGATATATATGTTTTGTCAAACATTTGAATGCTTTCTACGAATGATGTTCAAAGTATTATTTTGTAGTTGCAGGATGTATACAAATTTTGGATATCCTAGATTTAGAATATTGTTAAATAGAACCCTTTCCACAGTTACGCAAACTGAAACTAGCAACGATATAATACTGCTTGGTCACAAATATCCCACAGATAAGTGGACAAATATTACTCAAAATATCATTTGTAAACTAGGAAAAAATTTACATATTACACCATATCATCCTTTATCTCATATTCGTCAACGTATTGTTAATTACATTTATATGCAATTTTATAATCGTATTGGGAATCCTATTTTTAGTGTGTACGATAATTTATCCCCCATAGTTACAGTAGCTCAAAATTTTGATTCTCTTCTTGTACCAAAAGATCATCCAAGCAGAAAGAAAACAGATTGTTATTACATAAATCAAGACACTTTGTTACGAGCTCATATGACAGCTCATCAGACAGAGTTGATTTCCATGGGTTTGAACAATTTCCTTGTAATAGGAGATGTTTATCGTAAAGATGAAATAGATTCTATGCATTATCCTGTTTTCCATCAAGTAGATGCTGTTAGATTATGTACAATAGATGAAGTATTTCAAAATGTGAATAATACAGATGGTTTAAGACTGTTCGAACATAGGGGTATAGAATCTAATGAAAAACAAGCTTGCCATACCTTAGAATCTGTAAAAGTAATGGAACATGAGTTGAAAAACACTTTAACAGGTTTAGCACAGACTCTTTTTGGATCAGGTAATGTTACAAAGGAGAAATATTCTAAGATGTATTTAAAACTTTAACAACATACGCAACATGAACCTTATAAAAATTCTAAAATACATTTTAGAAGTTCAATACAGGTGGACTGAACAATATTTTCCTTTCACTCATCCGTCATGGGAACTGGAAGTTTACTATAAAGATCGGTGGCTTGAAATATTGGGATGTGGTATTATACGCCAAGAGATATTACAAAGGACAGGAACAGAAGAACGTATTGGATGGGCATTTGGATTAGGTTTAGAGAGACTGGCTATGTGTTTATATGATATCACTAATATCAGATTATTTTGGAGCAAAGACACTGGTTTTTTAAATCAATTCAAAGTTGAAGATCCCAATGTGACAATAAAGTACAAGGTAAAGGAATTAGTAAAATAGCTAATATTACAGGAGAAAGATGTGTTAGTGGTTATATTTCTCTCTTACAGCCAATTAGCATTTACCCTCAGTGCAAGAATGACATAAGTTTTTGGTTGCCGGAAGATAGACACTATTCGTCAAACGATTTCTACGATTTAGTAAGAGACATCGGCGGCGATAGAATAGAACAAGTTATATTAAAAGATGAATTCACTGACCCTAAAACTAAGAGATTATCGCACTGTTATAGCATAACGTATAGAGATATGGAACGTACGTTGACAAAACGGGAAGTAAACAACGTCCACAAACAAATAGGAAATATTGCCGCTGAGAAATTACATGTAAAAGTCAGATGAAGAAATTAAGTAAATTTCAGAAATAAGCCAATTATATGTGCGTGTACTTATTGTTTAAATAAAACACCAGTGTGTATGTAAGGTTAAAAGAAAAAGTAGCATAATGAATAAGTCAAAAGCTCAAATGATTATATTATTATATTTTTCACATAAATTAATTATAAATGTACCTTTAAGTCAAATAATATTTACCTCGAAATAACTGTATGGTCTATCGTATAATGCATTTCATCAACATCACAACTAATACACCTAGATCTACATTCTTACAATTTATGCATGAATATAAAAATCGATTTCTTTTATTGTAGCATTGTACATTCACAATAAGTAAATTACATTAGATTATTGCATTACAACTGAAAATAATAAATTCTATTTAAAATATAAAAAAAAGGAATACTCTTACCAAAGAAAAACAACAGCACATAGGAATCTCTGCATTTAATTTATAAAAAGTAATGAGATTTGACATCGAATATTTCCATGTGTACACTAAATACACTAAGAAAATGTCAAGTAAACCACCATTATATGCATTCAATTAGCCAATAATTCACGGCTTATAAACTTAATACATTAAAATACTGTGAACAGTTCGCGATCGCAGGCGAAACTAAATCAAAAAGTTACATATTTCGCGAACACATTTCATAGAGAAGAATATTTTATTGTTCGTTTTAATAAATAAAAATCAACAAAATACGCATTAAAAAAGATTTGATGTTTAAAAATCATACTTACAATTATCAAAACTTCAGTATACTTCGATACAACATTTGAATTAAATAAAGGGATGTTTAAACCATTGCTTTTAGTTTTGCATTAATTAAATTCATCATTGGTTTGAATAGTTGCAGAACAGTTAGAAAAATAGCGCGGAAACTTATGAAGAAATGCAAATTTATTTACTTTATGCCGAGCAAAATCTCGAATCGTTAATTAATTTTGCAAACGTGTTTTTTATACCACTTCCTTGATACAGACCAGATTTCCAATTTTTCGTGACAAGTTACGAAAATAACTTGTGCTATACACAAAATTTAAGATAATTTGGTGTAACTAGGGGGTGAGAATTTTTTTCGCAAGAACTTCAAGATGTACAGTGGCATGCAAGAAATCAAAGTTATTAGCAATACTTTCCACAAAAAGCCAGTGGTCTTGATAAATTCGGCATCTGTATTAAAACAAGAAGGGAATCGTTAATAAATTGTTTAACAAACATATTTCTTATTTTGTTGAAATATATGTGAATTGAACATACCGAAATAGTCTTTGAGAACGACTAGAGATAATAAATAAAGCGCCAGTGAGAAAATCTCTGCAAGTATCATAATGTGATGCCATGTTCTAATCGTTAACGCTACCATAATTAATTCCGTCAAGACAAGCGCTGTGAAACTTATGGCCACTATATGAATGAATTCATCTTCAAACATTATAAGCGCGCCGTACATAATAACACCACCTGGAAAGTGATTTGAGCAGTTAATATATGTTGTTAAATAACGTACGATCAGCGAATACTTTCTAACATTTACCTTGATATATACTTATTAAAATCCACATGAAGAAGGTTTTATAAGACAACGACCGACCTTTACTAAGTTCTTTATAAAGCTCCGGATAAGTCAGTGCAATTTTTCCCGACACATCTTTGTCTAGTACCAAAGAAAACACGGGAAACATCGTATATATTGTTCCGTAGCTATAGAAAAAAAGCATTGTTATTATTTGCTGCTATCAACATGGTTAGAGAAAATAAATTGAAAAAGTTAAAAATTATTTTTTAATTTCGACGAACTAATTTGAGATCTTTCCTTACCCGACCATTAAAAATCCCTGATACAAGGATACTGATGACAAATAAAAGACCGCAGAAAACACAGCTTGCATAGTGGAAATAATTAAACCCCGGTGAATAACAAATTGACTTAAAGCAGCAGAACGTTTGTAACTTCTGCGTCCGTGAACTAACAAGAGATTAGCCAAATGACTAAACTGGGAAATAGAAAAATCTGCGGCCAAGGATGCTTGTCTTCCTTCAAGTCCTTCAAGACCTATACCTACGAAACAAGATACACCAATTTAACGATATGTAATTCATTCTAATATAAATATCAGGGGAAGAATTATTACCAGCGTCTGCTGCTTGTATCATAGATACATCATTACCGCCATCACCAACAGCTGCGGTTCTTTTACCGGTGTGTCTTTGGATAAGGCTGACAACTTCGGCTTTTTGCGTGGGTGAACATCGACAGCAAACAACAGCCGGTGAGCCGCATGCCAGTTCCAAGAATTCTTGTTCATAGTATTGCAAACACACCTCTAAAGAATCGCCACTGATAACTAAGGCACAGTCTTGCTTCTTACGAAACGTATTTAATTCCAAATGCGCGTCCGTGCGAGTTACCACTGATTTAAAAACGTGAAGACCTTGCGCCCGTGAAACTAACCGCGACGATTTTGCTATACAAGTTGCTGTTTCCAATTTGTCGCCCGTTAACATCCAAATCTGAAGATCGTACGAAAAGAGATTGCGGGCAAAGTTATTATAGGAATGCGAACGATTAAAAAACCAGAAGAAAACTCGTGTAATCGAAGTACCTTAATTCCAGCGTTCCTTAGTACCTCTAATGTAGGCCTTACTCTATCTTGCAACCTGTCTTCAACGCCGGTTACACACAACAATTCCATCTCTCTTTCCAAACTTTCGACAACAGCGGCAACCCTTGAACCGCGATCACTGACACTCATTCTTGCTGAATTATACCTAACAAAGAAAGTAATGAATTATTTTGAATCATTTGATCGCAACGCACGTTCCACAGTATGTACCTTGCTTCAAAATCGAGATACTGCTCTTCCGTTAGATTCTTTTTCGCAACGACTAACGTTCTCAGACCTTCTCGAGCCATATTACCACATTCCTCTTCGAGCCAATCATTGTACTGCACTATTCCGGACATTACCACGTCCGCTCCTTTAAGATAGAATACTATTTCAGAACTAGATTCTTCTTTCACTATTATCCCCATTCGTTTGGTCTCTGATGTGAATGGAAATATTTGTAAAATTGTGTAGTTCAAGATTTTTCCATTTGGAGCTTTCAACTGCATAAAATTTAAGTTACGCTTCACTAAAGCTAATCCCATTTCTTCCGTCCATTTAACCAATGCTACTTCATCCGGACTGGATGCCTGGTAATTACGTTTTTGTTCTGGCATGTAATAGTGCTGATCTGCTTCTGTTTGACTAAAGGAAGAATAATGGATATACACAAGCGTATACAAGTTGTAATGGCACGGCACGGGGCGGCGTGGCTAACTTCGCAAAAGTTACCTTTGAATGGAACCGGAGTCTCCTGTTTCTCCTGTTTCTCCTGTTTCCACACTTACTGTGTCCAGATTGGTCGATTTATTATTTACTTCATCGTAAACCGGCGTGACATTATGACATAATGCTAAAGCATGCACTGCATCGTATATTCTAGTACTTTCGGATCTTCTTACTTTTCCACTGTGCACAGATGCCGGTGGTTTTATTGGAGAAATTTCGGAATTAGTAGAATAACACGTTTTTAATACGGTCATGACTTCATCAAATGTTTCTTGTCCATAGGATATCATGCCTAAATGTAATTTTTTGAATACCATCTTATTCTGTGTCAATGTGCCAGTTTTGTCACTTAACAAATACGAGATACGACCAAGTTCTTCTGGGATGGTAGTGGTTCTTACGACGGTTCCGGCAATTTCTTTGTCCCTCTGTATACACCACGCGTAAAATGCTTTTCCCATATCTAAATTCACTCTTAAACTGATTGGTATTATATAAGAGAACAACAAGACGAAACGAAACATATAACGATACCATGGTCCACTGAATCCCTTCAAAGACATCATTACTAATGCCAATCCAATCACAGCACAGAACAAGACCTGGAAGATTGATATTTACTTGACAATGTTTAGAAAAATAATAATAAAGACCAAAGGAAATATTTGTTTGTAGTGGTATAACACCTTTGTCAATTGATTTATTTCTTGATCTAATAAGCCAACTTTTGATCGTGGTGCGGAATGATTCATAAGAGATCTAGTTTCCTGCCCTGTATATACTACAACACCAAGAGCCGAACCCGAAGCAATAGCTGTGTTCGCCCATAGAGTGTTATCTACTCCTAAACTCTCTTCACTGCTGTATCCATCATACTGCAAATTGTAACATAATAATTTACTATACACTACCCTGTTGTTCCGCACGTATAAGCATGAAACGTAAACTAGACATATATACGAAAATTTACCCTTGTAAATGTTCCAATAAAACTATGAATGTCTTTCTGTGGTTTCTCAACATATATGCTAGCTTTTATATCAAAGAGTTGAGAATTATTTTCCAACTTTTGTGTCGCCGGTACGGCCAAACGTAACTTCCAATCCGTTTCTCCATCTAATTGATCTGTCCTCACAAAACATGCTCCAGACTTTTCAGTTGTTCGTAATAAAACCAAATCAGCTGGTACTCTTTGACCTTTTTCCACAATTACCTTGGAGAGGAGAAAAACATACAAATGTTTGTATTTTCTTGTCTCTACTTGTACTTTCACCTCATCAAAGTATCTATTTTCTTACCAGATCACCCACTCGCAATTTAGAGCTTGGTACTAATTCTGGAGTATCAAACCCTTTCACTAATCTATGATACTTTTGTGCATTTACTTCTTTGTCTCTTTTATATCGTCTAAAGTCATCAATTGCTTCTCGACAAATTGTAACAGTTAACACAAAACATAAAGGTCCCCAATATGTATACAAATATCCTATTCGTATGTCTGGTATGAATTGAGATATGGCCATAAGCAGAAAATACAGATTTAAGAAAAATTTAAACTGTTGGAAAAGAACCTGAGAAATAAAGTGTCAAACATTAGACACTGTTACCCTATATTGCGTTATACCCTGATAATTAACAAAATATCCTTTACCATAGGCAAAAATGTGACAATATTGTATTTCTGATTTCTTATGACATTAGTAGGGAACTTTTCATGCATTGGTTGACCAATGTGAATAACTCTAGCTCTTAATTCACGTTCTCTACAACATCTCCTCCACATCCAGGTGCAACATCTAGAAGTATACAATAATGAATAAGTGCAGAAATAAAGGAGAAGATTGTTTG